TCACACACACACATCCTGTCACCAAGCCTTGAGCAGATCAAGTCCATGGATTAAACAGAGCGTGACATGAAGACCCACCAAGGCAGAAGGAAATCACCTCCTCATGCAAGGAGGGGCATTCCGGAGAAAGGGAATTTTTTCACAGAGCATCGAGCACTGGACATGCAGTACATCAGCGTTGTTACTGGTTCCCACCATTCCAGTCCTCCGCTTCTGCTGCCCAGATTTCATCCGTGTGTCTCAGCATCTCCACAGGAAAAGGGGATGATGCTACAGGTCCCCCTAAGCAGTGCTGCAGGATCACTTGTACAGCAACATCTGGGCACCAAATGGAAGATGCACCTGGAGCAGAGGCCATGCGCATCATTCTGACAGCCCAGGGGTGCAGAAAAGTACCGGGCTGTGCAAGAGCAGGTACTAGCCCAGCCCCATGCTCACCCTGTCTCGCCAGCTTTATTCCCTCCTGCACAAGGTACAAGAGGTGTTCAGTGAACAGAAAGAACACACCCAAATGAAGCAGGTTTTATCCCAGATTGACACATCACTGACCAAGCACTGCTACCTGTGTCAGGCCAGGGCAAAACATGGACCAGGACACTGTTGCACCACCCTGCAGTTGCTGCTAAGCCCTGGGACTTCCTCCTGCTCTGCAGCACAGGTACAGCCGCTGTCCTGACAACTCCCGACAGCTCCTCCCAGGCTGTGAAACCCCAACTACCTTGTGCTCCAGAGTAGAACCAGAGCAGGCAGGGTCCTGAGGAAGGTTTTTCCAGCGACACCCAACCATCTCACAGAGGAGACCGTGGCTGCCCTTGCAGCAGCACAGGGCTCAGCTAAGAGCAGGGTGGGCAGATCTGGCACCATCACAGCCCAGACGAGCTGCAGGACAAACAGGGGGGCAGGAAACATCACAAGACTGCAAAAAGTCTGAAATTCAGAGCAGCTGGGACCACACAGAGCAGGCAGCCTTCCCACCAGGCTGTTGTTTAGCTCAGCCCCTGCTCTACCCCCCCTTTCCCACTCCCCAGCTGCAGGAGGCTCAGGAATCTGCGGGGGCCATTCCCTGTTGCTGGGAAATCAGGCTACTGAAACCACAACAGCATCAGCTGGAAACACAGCCCCTCCCCTGGGCTCTCCAGCAGCTAACACCAACACCATCGGGCATTTTGTCATCCCCACGGCCTGCAGGACAGCACCCGGGCACGAGCATTCCCCACATCACAGGCCTGGGCCCCCATCAGAGGAGAACAGCTCTGGGAAGAGGCACGCTAAGCGCCATGTTCATTACAGTGAGACATGGAGGTACACGGGGAAAGCACGGGCTTTGCCTCAGCTCTGGGGGCCAGCTGGTCACCTGGACCATCTTCTTCACCACCAAGTGGTGACCCCATGAGGGGCAGGGAGGGCCACAGCACCCCAATCTGCAGCAATGCCCAGTCGTTAGGGAACGGGGCAGGAGAGCTCTGCCAGGGCACATCAGCATTCTTTACCTCATCTGTTTAAAAAACAGTGGAGATCTTTAACCCCTACTCAATGAATCATGGAGGAAAACCATCCCAGCAGAGCTGTTAACTGCGCAGGGAGGGAGACCAGAGGCGAGGATGAGTTCCCAACCTTGCACTCTGGGGAATCACTGGAGGGAGCTCTGCTTATCTAGACACAACCAGAAGCACCACGGGGCAGAAGTGACAGCTGCCAGCAGAGCTCCTCTGCTGCAGGCTGTGTGGGAAGGGTTCCCTGGCTCAAATCCTGGTCCCGGCTTCAGAGAGCAGATATCCTTGGCTGGTGGGAGGGAACAAGCAGACCCTGTCCTGGCCTTGCCCAGTTGGCCAAGAGCCTTTGCCTGACCCCAGACACTTGCAGCTGAAGCCACCAGATGCACGTGGTCCTAAGACTTTGCTCCCTCTGCTATCTGAATTGGATTCCCAGCTCTGACTACTGACATGTATCAGCCCTGGGGATTTCTCAATCGTGACAAACTTGGTGAGAGTTCACGGCCCAAGTGTCCCCTGGTGACTCAGCCACGATCTCCAGCTCCTTCCCCTTGTGACTGGGACAAGTTTGTGGAAAAGGACTGGCAAGGGACAGGGCTCACTGCTTTTTCCTACTCAAGTTTGATGAGATGAAGGACAGAGACACTTCATGAATCAGAACCATTTTCCCCAGATCAAAGCGTTCATTCCTGCTCCTAACCTGGAGCATTCCCAGCACCAAACACCAGCACACATGGCTGTAATACAGCAGCTCAAAGCCCTGCTGATGGCCACGCAGGGATTCTACCTTTGCTGGCCACAACAGTAGGCATTTCTTGGCCACTCGCTGTGCCTCCTACCATGTCCATGGGGCCCCTGGATTCGGGGTGACCACACTCATATCTCGGGTCTCATTCCCTGTCTGCAGCCAACTGCCAAGAGACTGTGAACCTGCAGTGCCGCGTCCTGATCCTCACAGCTCACCTGAAGAGGAAGTGTCAGTGCAGGCCTGAAGGTATGAGCACTCCTGAGCAGCAGTCACCAGAGGGACCAGCATTCCACCCATAGAGAAGCAGCAGAGGGTAACAAACAGGTCACATGGGAATCCCAGATCATCCCAACACACAGGGAAGGGAGCAGCAAATCTCCTCCCCTCTAAACCTCATCAGATTCTCTTCAAAGCTTAACTTGCCAAGGAAAATACCTCTAAACCCCACAGGCTCATGCTGGCCGCACAGGGGCACACTGGACCTTCTTCACCGTATCTCTCTTCCTCCAGACTGCATCGATCTTCTGGATGAAATGGGCACCCTGATGAACCTGAGCAAAGTGGAAAATCCTGCATCTGAATTTGCCAGTAAATACCTACAGGAAAGGGAGCACTACATCCTCATCAGAGTCATCCGTAAGTTCCTCCGCAAGACAGCACAGTTCAGCCTCTGCACCAAGAAGGGTCTGCTTTGCGGGGGGTGGTGTTACACACCATTTCAAGTAACTCTCCCATACACAGGAAAACCCTGTCACCTCCTAGAAACAAAGATGCAGCTTTGGAGAGTGGCTCTATTCAGTAGTCACTTGGACAGTAGCTCTGAGGATGCAGAAGCCAGCTCAGATGAAGAGCTAGAGTAGAACCTTGTGTTTGTCCAAGGTGGCTGCTCTGGGGGAGGAGAAACCTTTCATGAACAGAGCCACCTGCCCCAGTTACAAGTCTTGACTTCAGTTTTCAGCCAGGAGAGAGGTTAATCCATTTCTCCCATTCTGCCGGCAGGAGGAGAAAGCTCTGAAGCCACCTGCTATGAATCCTTGCTAGAGAACCTGGAGAAACACTACCCTGACCTAGCAGGTAAGAGCCAGGCACCCACCTCACCTGCACAAAGGAGCTGGGGGTGCAGGCATGACTCCTCTCCCTACCACAGCCCTTGTAGACCATCCGTGGGATTGTCCTCTGCATTCCACTATGCCCCCTCACAACACTGAGCTTCAGGACTGGTTAAGACCATGGGTAGCAAGTGAATTCAGGCAGCAAGCGAAGGGACAAGCAGAAGCCAGAGTTAGTTTGCAGAAACCCTCCTAGTTAGTGTGACAGCAGGCACCTGCTGCCCTCCCACCCCAGGCATGAGTCCCCCCAGCCTGGAGGGGTCCAAAGCAAAGAGGGGACATTTCCTTGGAACAAACAAGGAGGGAAGGACAACAGGAGAAATCAGGAAACCCAGAAGTCCCTCTCCCAGGCTGCAGTCTCACAGGTTGGCATAGCCTCACTCAACACACCAAGGGCGGGCAACTGACCAACACAGAAGGAAAACACACAGCTCTGGAGGGGATCACTCCACAGATCGGCTGCAGCAGCTCTCAGCAAACACCCAGATGAGAGACCAGCGGAGGAGGGGCTCCTTGCAGAGGAGGGGTCAGCCCCTCACCAGCACCCCAGCCAGGACCAGGCCTGTCTCACAGAGCAAGAAGAGCTCAGAGCTGAAGCGCAGCCCTAGATGAGCAGACCCATTACTGATCACAAATGCAGCGCAGCCACCAGCAAGGCTCAGTCACCCTACCATGCTGCCCATGCACTCATCCCCCGCTCAGCAAGAATCCTCTGCCACTTAGCTCCTCTTCCTGGGATCCCCCTGCTCCTCTCAGAGGTTCATGCTGCCACATCCAAAGCTGCACCCTGACAAACCACGGAAACGCAGCACCACAGCCAGGTACAAGCAGCAGCCTCCTGCTTCAAGGAGTCACTCATGTTCCCAATGGCATGGCCTACACTCCCAAGTGACAAGAAAACTGCATCTCCTTTCAACCCACCTGCACTGGCAACCAAACAAACACATGCACCTGCATCACTGGATGAGTCTGCCTTCGACACCATCACCACACTGGCAGTGGCCTTCTGGACTGTCCACTGCACTCACCAGGAAAAGCTGTTCAAGAGACACCCAGAGTCTCCACAACTCCAGAAGCAGCATTGCTAGCACTTAGCCAAGATGGATCAGAAGACAGCACACACCTGCTGCAGGTGCTCCTGATGGTCCTCCTTAACAGCTTCTCCACCCAAACCAGCACACACCAACATCACTCTAGTATTTATTTCTTAAATGGAGTTTGTTAAAACAGCTTCATTACAGTGGTTCCTCCCTGCTCACACTGGGGCAGCTCAGCACACAGAGGACTTGGGCTTTGACTCTCTGGCATCTACTTTTTCCCTTGGCTGTCTCTCAGGAAAGGTCAAGGCACCTCAGATAAGGTCAGGCACAGCTCTGGACATTATCTACCACCAAGAACTTAGGTCTTGACATTTAGAAGGAGCAGGACTTTCAACACCAGCTTCCAGTATCTGCTGCCAGCCTTTACCATCTAGACCTGGATTTCCTCCCAGATCCAAACAAGGGGCCCATAACTTGCCCAATATTCAACAGCTGGAGGTCAACAGTTAACAGATTAATTCTGCCATGAAAATTCAGCAGTTAAGCATCTGAAAGTATCATGGTTTCACTGCTGTGCCACTGAAACTCCAGCTGAAGCCTCAAAATTCTTTCACACCAACATGAAGAGGAAGGTGTCCTGCTGGAGGCCAGTCTGCAGGCAGCAGTCACGGGACTGTTCTGCTGTAGCGACTGTAAGCAGAAAGCCACTCTGAACCTGACCTGATGCCGGTGACCTTGAAAACATTGCATAACCTGCTAAGGCTTTTAAGTAAGATCAGCTGACTGTATCCAAGTCACACAGCCAGACAGGTCCTATTTTCTTAGCTCCAGGGTCAGAACAGCTCTTCAGGAAGAAGGTACCAATGGAAAAATAGTGTTACTGAAAATACTGTAGGACACATCTCGGATTACCTCTCTCCAGCCCCTCCTCTGCCTGGAGTGCAGCCAATCCAGTCTCAGCTCAGTTGTGGATCTGCTTTTGCCAAGTCATGCAGGCTCAGTCCTTGCTAGGCTGCACCTCCTGTTTGCAGGAAATATACAACTGTGCCTTATCCTTCAAGTGGCTGATACTGTTAACATTTTGGTAGCTTAATTTTAGCTTGAGAATTAAATAAAGAACATGCACAAGTGATAGGTCCAAATAAACTCCTTTATTTCTCTGTAACAAATACAGCACTATCTGAATTCCGAACTCCCACAGGTCCAACCATTCCTCTCCTTCCCTACGAGTCCAGAAGTGAGTTACCACTAGAAGACTCCTATCTGGTCAGTCTGCTCCCTTCAGCTCATCCCCCATCTGTCCTTCTGCTCCCCGCAGGCAGCAAGGCTCTACACCAGCCTTCTCTTCCCTACAAGGGGGCAGATTCTTCACAGGAGAGAAGAAACACCTACAGGGGAGAAAGCACAAGTTCAGCATTAGAGGCATATTCAAGCAGCTGTAAAGGCTCACTTACCTAAGGTGACCAGATCAAGACATAGCTACTGACATCCACTTTTAACAGGTGCAGCACGAATTAGAGAATCAAGTAAGGAAAGCAGCAAGAGAGGAACCTCCAAGAGGGCACCTACAGCCTCCTCACCTTCACACAGATACACTCAGGATCATTTCTCCTGCCCCTTCCAGTTCCCTTCCGCATTCCAGGACACAGGAAAGGCAGAACTGCTTCCTATTTAAAGCTCTGAAGGGCACTATAACCTCAACAGATTGCTTCTGCAACCTTGAACCCTCTCAAGTATTCTCCTGGCAGCAGTGCCCTCGCTGCTGGCACAGGGCACAGACTCACCGTTGCTAGTCTTGCACTGCTTCAGAGCCTCGTTGAAGCCCTCGCACAAGGTCAGGTCTCTCTGGTTGGTAGCACACTCCAGGAACTGCTTCATCTCATAGTGGCAGGGTCCATAGGGCGACTGCTGGTACAGGGGCTGCTGCCTGGGCTCCTGCAGGCAAGGACCTGGCTAGGGAAGGAGGTCTGGGGGCAGAGGCACCCCTTTCGGTAAATACAGCGGCTCCTTTTCGCCTCTCGGCAGGA